TGTCCTCATTGAGCATCAGTCGCGATATCGACTGGCGCTGAACGAAGAGCACGAACTGGTCGTCGTGTTTGGGTCCGAAGGGACAGGGAATCGATTGCGGCGAATACCAGTCCTCTTCGCCGCCGAAACACGTGTCGCCACTGATCTTACGATAGCCGCGGGTTCTGTTGAACATCCGGCCGACGCGACACCACTCGGGCACCGAAAACGGGTCGAAGCCCTCGACGCTCGACCGGTCGTCGAACACACACTTCGTGCCGCCCGTCGTCTCCCTAACGAAGCCCACATCGCACTCGAAGTCCGAGTGACGGCACGGGCAGTTCAGGGTCGCCACTGGCCTCACGTACTGCTGGCCGTTAAAGCACCGGTGGTTCGCTACGCGGCGCTGGAAAACCTCGCGCCGACCCAACAGACACCCGGACTCCATGTCGTGCGGCGACCACTCCTTGTAGTCGTCGGGCAGAGCGCACTGGGCTTTGAATACTTTCGTGAGATTCACCTGAATTACGGCCCACTCGTGTCGGCCCTCCTCTCGCGAGCCAAACAGCGTGAAGACAGTGGTCTTCTCTCCCGGCTCTGTCATCAGACCGTAGATCCGGATCCTGTCCTTCGAGAACTTCAGTGTCGACCAGTTCTCGCCGTCGTCTACGGAGTACTTCAGTTCATTCGTCGCCCCGTTCTTCGAGTAGTAACTGATGGCCACAATAATGGCGCCGAAGTCGCCGAACGTGAAGATGTAGTTCCCGTTCAGCACCTGATGCCACGTAATGCCCGCGTCTATACTCAGGTAGACGTTAGGCTTGCCTTTGATGGACGTGCCGACCACTCCCGACGCCATAATGAGGCCCACGGACGAGGGCTTGGAGACGATTGGCGGCAGACGTAGGTGTGGGTAGAGGTATGAGAACTTCTGCGACAAATGGAGGGAACAGTTGCTCGACGGCGAGCAGTCGATGTGAGCGCCGTCCGCGTCGATAAACGGCGGCCTAATTCGCTGCCATTTGGAGCCCATGTCCATCGTTATGACAGTTATCAGGTCCGCCACCGACTTCTTGGGCTCTTTCCACTTGGAGGCGATGTAAACGCCGCGAACGCCGGCCACTCTGTGCACGTCAGCCAACGGTTCGTCCGAATTCCAGTCCAAACCGATGGGATGTTTGGTGACGTTGGGCGCGAAGTACAAGACGTTCTCCAATGACAGCGAGAATCGGACGCCATTTTCGCCCGAAGTGTACAAATGAGTGGTGGAGTCGTTGAACGTGACGCACGCCATCACCACCTCCTCGGAGGCGTCGGCGATATAGTAGTCGATAATCGCCGAGCGATTGATGGTCGGGAAGAGCGCGCGCCGGAAGTCTTGCCTCTGGTATGAGACCCACAGTTGATAGGAGTCGTGCGCTTTGGGCTCGCGATGGCCGGCGCCTATCAGTCGCATACTTCTCGTGGCGAACAAGTATTTGCCGGATATCTCGAACTCTTTGACACTATTTAACCACATCTTTGTGTTGGAGTCGTTGGCGAAGAAGTCGCCGGAACTGATCACTGATGTCAAGCCGTTTGGTTCGTGTCTTTGCACGAAAACCGTGTTCACCGACGAGTCAGTGGTAGTGGTGTCCACGCCCTCCACGCCCCACGAGAACTGTTTCACTCGCTCTTGAATTGGTCGCCAATTGGCGCCGAAGTCTTCCGAGAGGTACAGCTTTGAGGCCAAATCGTTGCCACCGATCGGCGCGGATGTCATGAGAACTAAGTCAACGTTTGTCGCGTGAAGTGATATAGTCTTCGGTGGGAACTGGAGGTCCACTCGCTTGAAGTGTTTGCCGTAATCTTTGGTAATAAAGAGACAATTATTGATGGAATCGACGAAAATATAGTGACTGTTAAGCGCCGGCGATATGAAGAACGTGTTGATCACCGCATTGGAGCCGTTCTTCAGCACAAAGTCCTCCACTTTGTGGAAGTCTTTGCCGTAATTATCCGATATATAGACCGCGGATGACGTGTTAGCACTCGTGGCCCTGTTCTTCGCCAAACAGATGATGATCGGCGACCCCTTCCCCGACCAGTGGACAGTCAACTGCTGGTGACTGTCATTGAGCGCAGCGGTGGTCACGAACTGAGACAAGTCGTCGACGTGTGATGTCTTCGGCGGTGATGTTGTGGTCGATGTGTCGGACACCGAGTTATTGGCCGATCGTCGCACTCGCGAGTCGGCCACCAATTGGTTGTCTATCGGGTGATAGTCTTCGGCCACAAAGTGGTGGCCGTCGGCGACGACTCGGCCGACGATCTCTTTGTTTAGCCATAGATTTGATTCGCAAATGAGTGGTAAAAGTGATGATAAGATGGCAATCGATGCCAACAAATGCCGTTTGAAATGCATTTTTGAGTTGTCTTCCGATTATCAGTCAATCATTTGGTGTCTGTATTGACGCCAATGTCTTCGGCCGTCACTTATGTCCGCAAAAGCATGTGATTTGTGTCTCAATTGATCCACAATTTGATCGCAAAACTGATTGTCATTTAAAGTGTGTTTACAATGCATTCAATGATAAACATATGATTCACTACTCAGTGAGTATCAGTAAAAGGGCCTAAATATGCATACACTCTAATAGCCAATAAAAAGCCTTTTTATGATAACTAATACACAATAAATTGCATTAAGTTTGTGAAGACATCTGTGGAAAGTTTGTTGAAATAAACCAAAGTTTTCGAAAAGTTTCTAAAGTTTTCGAATACTTTTTCACCTAGATCATTCATATTTTAAGCTACAGTTCCCGTATTATAAGAATTCACATACAATTTTGATTAATTTCATATTTATTTATAATAAACTCAAAATCTTACATAAAATCTATAAAAATAAATAACAAATGATAACAAGAATCACATAAAGATTACCACTTAATGACAGCCTATTTGCAAATGAGATAACTTTCCCCTGAGGTTGTGGTCTAGTACTCAAAGACATTTGTGGCGCATAGTTCTCGATATTGACATTATTGCCATCAAACTGAATACATTGTGAATACAATTGTCTCCTTTTCCTGCCCTCCGAGTCCATAGTATTCACGCAAACGACATACTCTTGTCTATCACTCAAACCGTTGGCCACGTATTCCCTCACATTATACTCGACGGTCTCATTGACCACCAGTTGATTATCACCACTGGATGTGATGAGAACATTAAACAAAGCCATGTCTTCCACGCGATTCACGACAAACCAAACGATACGCAACGAACTTCTCCGTCTTCGGGACCATTCAATCGCGCGAATCCTGACATCGCTTTTGGCCACAAAATGCTTGGAATACTTGTCTAAGACGTTGGTCTCGCAGTTCAATTGACTTGGCTTCAGATCAGTCATCGATTGGTTGATGAGAACCAACGGATCCTTGCATTTCACTGAAGACCAGTGCCGGTGAGCTTCGGATGAGTGGCCCTCGAGTTCCGATCGTTGGACTTCGCCAGTGATCCACGCGATTAGTGGCAGTAAATGGCAGTCACAGTACAGATGGTTATCTGTGGGCACACGGAATAAGTGTCATAATTAGCATTAGATTTAGAATTATTATTACAAAGACTGTAAACTTATAATTCATATAAAATATTGTCAGATTTATATTGTTTATATAGTTTTAAGTCTAGTTTTAAGTTGAATATAAATACCGGTATTAAGAGTATGTAAAGGGGCTAATGATGAGAGTGTGTTTGAAATATGAGCTCAAAGAGTGTATAAAAGGACTATAAACTAAAAGTACCCGGGTACAAACGACGCTGTATAAACGAGTGTGTTAAATGGTTCAATGAAATCAAAAGTGTAAAAGCCCTAAAAAGTCCTAGGACAAAAGTCCTTTTGTTAGTTGTAATAAACTATTTTTCATAAATAGTATTTTAATAAATAACAACTAATTAACAAATTTTTCATAAATAAACTTAAATAGTATCTAATAAGTTTTATAATTACTGTAATTACTTCTGCATATGATTGTATGAATTGAGCTTTAAACAAATTCTGTACTGTTATTGTAGATGTAAATGAGTTCAAGAATTCACCCAAATACTATATTTCCATACATTTTCAATACAAACTTTTTTTTGTAAGACTAAACTAATGCCAAAACTTTTGTATAAGTTATTCATTAAACTACTTAAAACTTGCTATTTAATTATCAAGAATCTATAACATTCAAGAATAACTGTAAATACCATTGAAGTGAAGTTTGAGACCGGACTTGATTTGCGCCAAAAACTCTTCATTCACGTGAAGTAATCGATTGCCACTTAAGTCCAGCTCTTGAAGTGCTTTCATTTTGACCAACTCTTGTATATAAACTGTTGAGAGTTTGTTCCCAGCGATCGACAAATGTCTTAATCTAGTCATCGACTCTCCAAACAAGCCTTTGGACAGTCGTCTCAATTGATTACCCGATAGATCCAAATACGATAATTGCGTTAAATTCGACATCACATTCATCTGAATCTCATTAATGATATTATCCTTAAGCGATAGCCACTCCACACGAGTCAGTCCGGTGTCAAAATGGTTGGTCAAGATTGGCATCAAATTGTTTGACAGATCCAAGTGCTTGAGTTTGTAGGGAATCCACGGCGACGAGGGGAACGACTTGTCTTTGATGAGGGAAATGGAGTTATGCGACAGATTCAGGTACTCCATGGACAACAAGGGCTCGAATATGCCGTGAGTTTTGTTCTCTAATTGTTTGATGAGATTATGGGATAAGTCTAGCGATTGAAGAGACACTAAACCCGTGAACACCTCCGGCGTCAAGTGATTGATCTCATTGTGGCTCATATTGAGTCTCAAGAGTTGTAGCAAACCATCGAAGGCTAGTTCGCTGACATTCTGGATCTGATTGCGATCCAGACGTATGTCAAACAAAACGCCTAACTTCCCAAACGCCCGGGTATTTAGTTCAGTGATATTATTAGCGGAATTCAGCTCCTTAACATGCCTAACATTCCCGAAATCGCGCGCTAAACCGTGAAGAACGTCTACCAATACTGAATTCCTATCCAAGTAATCTCAGTCTGTTAATCGTTTGCTGCTCAGGAGCTCGCTCGTCAGGTTGTTGTCATCCAGATTCAAGACTAACAGCGCGTTTATCATTGGAAATATATTGGACCTAATCGTCGATATCTGATTCCTCTGCAGATGCAACTCATTGAGCGCCAGAGAAATGGGAAACATTTTAGCGATTCTGTTGTCGTTGGCGAAGATGGTCTTGACGGACACCAGCGAAGACACGCCGCCATTAGTGATCTCTGTTATGTTGTTGTGCGAGATGTCCAGTTCCAGGAGCGTCGGTACGGTCCCGAAGGACGAGTAGCCGATTTTTCGCAACCGATTGTGTCGTAAGTTTATGAATCGGATGGACGCGAACTTCTCGAAGACGTTGCCAGAGATGTCTTCGATGCTGTTGTGACTCAGGTCCAGTGTATTTAATTCAAAGAGCCTTTTGGGCGTAAAGTCTTTGCGACCCAATTCTGTGATCTGATTGTGGCTTAGGTTCAGGAATCGGATTCCAGACATATTGGCAAAGATGTCGACTCTCGAGAGGTTGGCAATCAGATTGTGGTTTAAGTGAAGTACCGTCACATCGCAGGTATCAAAGGCCAGGCGTTTGGTTTTCTCGATGCGATTGTAAGAGAGGTCCAAATCGGTGATGTTGGCCATGTCTTGGAAGGCCTTGGTCTCGATCACCGATATGTTGTTGCGACTCAAGTCGATGGCGACCTGAAACATGCGTTGAAACGCACCCGTGGTTATGGTTGAGATGTGATTACGGCTCAAATCCAGGCGCTCTAACCATTGCATGTCTTTAAACATCTCGTTCTCCAGCACTTTCTCAAGTCGATGGCGACCTGAAACATGCGTTGAAACGCACCCGTGGTTATGGTTGAGATGTGATTACGGCTCAAATCCAGGCGCTCTAACCATTGCATGTCTTTAAACATCTCGTTCTCCAGCACTTCCAGTGAGTTCTTCGCCAAATCAATTGTCTTGAGGCGAGTGGTGGACGAGAATGAATTGCGGGCGACCTCTTGGATGACATTCCCTCTGACGAGAAAGTCTTTGAGGAAACGGACGCCTCTCAACATATAGGTGTCGATCACTTTGAGCCGATTGTACGACATGTCCAGCACTCGCAACTGCGAGCTCCGGGCGAATATACTCTTCGGCAGCTCCTGGAGCTCATTATGCGATATATTGAGTGTCGTGACTGTGGTCAAGTCATTGAAGTCGGACTTTCCTAACTCTTTAAACCCATTTCGAGATAAGTCTAACACTTTTAGCTTCTTTTGCGAACGAAACAGATTTCTCTCGATTTTCGTCAATTGATTGCCACTTAAGTACAGATTCTCTAATGATGTCAAACCGTTCAGTGAATTGCCCTCCAGTTTAGTGATGGAGTTATCGCTTAAATCCAAATCAACTAAATTCACTAATTTATTGAACGCAGTGTTCTTCACTTCCGACACAAACTTATTGCCAGAAAAGACAAGTTTTGTAATGTTTGACAACTTATTGATAGCACTTTCAGGTACTTTCGACATAAGACTTCCCACCAGTGATATCGATTGAAGTCTTTTGCCGAGTGGTGTCAATACGAGATCATCGAGTGTCGCGAGACTCGAGTTCACAATCTTTAGGTTATAAACGCTTTTGTCTTCAAATATGGAGCCAAAAAGTCTTGAGATGTTGGCATTGGTTATGGAGAGCGACTCAATGGGTGTCTTGACGTTATCCAAACCGAGTGATATCATCGCCAGATTGGCTTCGTTACACTCGATGACCAGTCCCTTGTAGTTACCATTGAGGCAACGACACGGATAGATGAAGAACTGATTCGTTGGACACGAATACTTGTCATTGCCATCAATAGATCCCAAGAATAGCGCACAAAATATTACACTTACTATACTAATAAAAACTTTACGATCAAAACTGTAAGCCATTGCGAAGAATATCTAAATTGCCACACAATTAGGTGACACAATCAACGCTATCAACCAAACGGTATACTCATATGACTCGTGATGTGGTGATTGGCCTTTAATCTAAATGTATTGAAATTAATTTCCATCGCTTTTCAATGGCTTGGAAATGAGATTTTTTTGTCGCAATCTTTGGTTTAATAAGAGACACAAAAAACTAATTTAAATCCAAGAGAAACTTTTTAATTAAAATGAGTAAAAAGTATATTTAATTCATTTCAAGCGATGGCTAATCAGTTCCACAACTGAGCGCATATTTTTCGCGAAATACAACAACAGTTAGACATAACATGTCTTGAGTAGCGGATTGTGACCTAATTTGTGATCATTAGACATACAAATCAAGTTGTGTTGGCTTTTTTGAGGTCAACTAGTTTTTTAAAACTTTTTTGCTAAGCTTTCAGTGTATTGTTTGCATAGAATTGTAGACAAATTCTTATGGGTTTTATCATTTGAAACCAAAATTACAATTTTAATCAGAGATAAAACTCGTAGAAAAAAACTTTTTTCTCGTGTATTAATCTCTCGATCATGTAATGAGAGTTAATTACGATAGTTATAAATAGATATACAAATGCATTAATACTGTGTTTTAGGTATCATTAAATGTAATTTTATTGTTTTAATTTCCAATTGCATAATCTATACACAAATATACACACAAAACTACACGATTTATATACAAATTTCCTTAAAATTTAAGTGAAATTATTTTACTTTTAAAAATAGCAATAAAACAATTAGTGATAAATTTCTAGTGAGAAACTTTTTCCATAACTTTTCTCATTCAATATCATTATGATTATTAATTAATGTCGAAGTTTCACTTATTTTTGTGATAATAGGATTCAATAATACCGGTATTATTATTGATAAGACAATTGGTCGACCACTAGACCCCCTCCTGATCCCACAGTTTGCTTAAAACATTTAAATTACACCAATTAAATGGTGTAACTTACAGGCAGTATAATTAAAGTAACTACAATTTATATATTAGTTTAGTTTATAACTATACCGTATTTTATTATCAAATTTTGTGACAATTAAAAAATAACTTTTAGTCAATTCGTATAAAACAAAATCGATTCATAAGAGATTTATGTATGAATTCATATAAACTGCACAGTAGTTGGTGACATACAATCAAGTAAGCAGGGCAACTTAACGTTCATAATGACAACAATTAGGGTCATTTCGGAACTGATGGTGTATGTGATGACTGTTGAGACATACTGGCCATGGAGACAATACGTCTCTTAAGAATCCGTGCCCGTTGTAGGCGCTGCTGGAGTTACTATTGTCTTAATTTGTCCTTGATCTTTATACAGTAAGGAACGGCACATTTGCTTTCCTGACAGTGCTTGGCGTGATAGCAGCTCAGGGCAATCAGCTTTTTACAGATAGGACAGCCGGGGGCAGCCGTTTGGTTGGGTTAGTTGGACCTGCGTTTGCAGGACTTGGCGTGTCGTACGACTCGCTTCATCTTATGACACAATGGGAGTCGACAATTGGCGTCCCGACACTGACACGAGTGGACCAGACTCTGAAAGTATCGCTGGATCAATAGGCGCCGAGATGTGTCCGAAGAACCTACACTTCCTATGCGTACAAATGGTTTAGCAATTAGTGAAGTGATGGTCACTCCTATACCCAGCGACAGATGAGTCATGTCGTGCACGAGGTGTTCCTCTATGCCCTCAATTGGTGGTCCGTCTGTCGGTAGCAATGCATTGACAATATGTTGGATATACAGTATTACTCACCACGTACTTACAGGATTGTCAATTTATTACTAACCAGGTAAAAGTTTCAAAGCTAGTTTTGCAATTTATTATACATATATTGTATTAATATTTTTGTGAAAGTTAAGACATAATATGTATCTTATTATCTATTAGATATTATCTTATCTACAGATACAGTGCTTACAAATGCATGTTAAGCTTTGCATAAGAATTATTTGGTTATAAATTCTAATATATCGAATATTCTTGACCTCATGGAAGTTTAACCTCCAAGGTAAAATGTATGCTATAGATTATGTACAGTAGTTCAAAAATTATATGCAGTACTAGCTAAATATTGTTTCGGGGAGTTTAGAATTATTCACGAGAGCTATTAATACTGTAAATAACTTACCTCTTATTAATGAATTGATCGTAAAATAAAAATGTGTTTCTTATATAACATTAAAAGCATTTGTATTTTTAATCACATTATACATACAGTAAATACCGTACAATATACAAATTATAATAGATTATACAAATTTCCTTAAAGTTTAAGTAAAATTATTTTACTTTTAAAATTAGCAATAAAACAATTGGCGATAAATTACATGAGAAACCAATGCTCAGGCGTCCAATTCAATGGACTTTTTCCACAACTTTTCGCATTCAATGTCTTTGTAATTAATACCGAAATTTCCCTTAACTTTCTGTTCAAACAAATACTGATAATACGGTTGAATAATATCTGTATTATTATTGATCGCATAATATGGTGACCACTCGACCTCCTCCTGAGCCGGCGGTTTGCTTAAGGGATTCAAATAAAAATAATTCTTATATGATATAACAGTAATACAATATAACATTTGTAGTAAATATAGCAAGATCATTGAACCAAAAAACTAATTAAAAATCACTTGATTGCGTTTAATCTACTGTATAATCAATTCATGAGACATAAAGTGTTGAGTTTTATGAATTTTAATGATTTACTTGCGTTGAGATTATTTTAATTAAAACTCTGACTATTAATCAAAAGTGATAAATATTGCTATAATTACTGACAAATCATACAAAACTTACTCATATTTAGCAAAGTGTGTGAAAGCATTGATCATCGACTTGGAGACGAGTCTCTCGCTGTCTGTAAAACTCTTTGGCTGTCGGAACGGCAGCCCAAACACCATCACGAGGTCCGAGTTATGACAGGCGCCCCATATCTTCGGACACCACGACGTAATGGACTCAGTCTTAGCGGAAAACACGTATTGAAACACTTTATTCCTCGTGATATCCGTTTTAAAGGCATAGCTGGCGTACAAAATGGACGGACAGGTCATCGTATAATCACCGACCGCTGCGCTGACAGCCCTCCTGATCTCCACCACATTATTGGGCGGTATTTGTGACAAATAGACGCGGGATATGTCGGCGCCGTTCAGTGGCGACGACTTCTTCGACGCTCTCGAAGAATACTCCAGTAATAGTTGGTTGGCCTGGAATTTGGTCAGATTTAGGGGATTCATGAGATTGAGTTCCGGTCCGAACAGGAGGGACAGAAACTGCGAGCCCTCGTCATCGGTGGTGCCCATCAATAGGTTGAGGTCTCGCTTAATATCACCGGACTTTAGCATTTCGATGGGCTTTCGCGGCAACAATTGGTCCCCATATGTGATAAGAGGCAGTAAACCGATGGTTGGGCTGAAGAAGTCGCGGCTCAGTATCGACACAAACGACTTGAACAACACGTCCGATGGTATGGTCCGCAGACACGCGACATCATTGGCTCCGAACTGTTTGCCATCTCCACAGTTGACTACTTTGGAGAGTTTGAGCCACTTTTGAAGCGACAGTTCCCTGCTTTGGGACAACTCTATGAGCGCCGACCCAGACATGAGTATCGCGTTGCGGAACAAGTGTCTCGTGACCGGCGATAGCGTGAAGATCGATGCGGACATCGAGCCGCTGCTGTCGCCGAAGAGTGTGACCCGATTGGGGTCACCGCCGAAACGGGCGATATTGCTCTGAACCCACTGGAGGGCCAACACCTGATCCCAGAGCCCAACATTTCCGGGCGCCTCATCGCTGCCGCCGTACAAAAACCCGAAGACATTGAGCCGGTAGTTGAACGTCACGACCACCACATCGCCCAACGCGGCCACCACTTCGGCGTTAAACAAGTCGACGGCACTCGAGCCCAGCGTAAAGCCGCCCGGATATAGCCATACCATCACCGACTTGGGCGCCGCCGGCGATGCGCCCGACGACGGCTGAGGCGCCCATACATTCAGATACAGACAGTCCTCACTGAATACCTTATTAATGCCGTTCCCGATGCCCAGGTTGTCGTCTGTTCCCTGAACCATCTGCAGGCAACTGTTGTGCCATTGCGTGGCGTTTATCGGTTTGGTGTACTCGTAGGGAACGGGTTTACGGAACCGTAGAACACCGACAGGCGGTTTGGCGTACGGAATGCCTAAATAAAAGTCAATGTTTCTGTCCAAAACGGTTGTGGTTTGTCCGTAGACTTGGAAATTAGGATCCATTGAATGCACATCTTGTATGGCATGAAGTGTTACAACGATTACCAATAGGTATAACATTATTATTATTATTATTTCGTATAAAATGTGATTTAATTATAACTTATTGGCTAACAATTAGTGAACAGCAGGTGTGTCACCGGAAACACTAATTAACTCTTAGTCTTATGACTCAATTACATAATACTTTGTGAACATTACTATAAAAATCTCTGACAAACGCAATCAAATGCAACTCAAAAGCAAATGAAATTAAAACGAATTTCTTTCGAGTAAAACGAAAACATTTTATTTGAATTAATCTCTAAATTTGAAATTTAAATCACAATTATATTGATAAATCAATTTGATATACAGTATTATATATAAAAACATATGTCTGATTAAAATGAGTTTTAGATTTAAATATACATTAAAATGACTTTCATGTCAATGAGATAAACGGAAAAAAGACATTTCAATGGACATCGACACCAGAATCTAATAATTTCAAAGACTAGTCGTCAGAATCGGCGATAATTTAATAGTCAACAGAGTTTACAACAAATTTCACTCATTTGATAGTCAAACAAATAATTCAAATAAATTATTTTCGGGCACAATCTTATCGGTTACACTATTATAGCACCGGTAGTATCATACAGTTATATGATTGCCAGACATACGGTATATAATTCATTACAATTCATACCTAATATAATCAATAATAAAATAACAAATAAAATTAAAAACAACGCTAAACACTACGGCTAACGACTAATGGCCTATCAGCGACTTCCCGGTCATGTCCTCCTCGGGCACCGGTATGCCTAACAAGTCGAGTACAGTGGGCGCCACATCGCAAAGGGCCGCGTTATGCGATATACTCGCAAACTTGTGCTCAGTATTAGCCATAATAAACGGCACCCGATTGGTGGTGTGGGCCGTATGGGGACCCCTCTTGTTGTCGTACATCTTCTCAGCGTTTCCGTGATCTGCGGTCACTAACAGCACATAACCGGCCGCTTCGCACGCCTTCTTCACGACACCGATCGCCTGATCAGTCGCCGCGCACGCCTTCACCGCCGCCTCGTATTTGCCGGTGTGGCCGACCATATCGGGCGGTGCGAAGTTACACATGAGGAACGGGTACTTCTTGGACTCGATGGCGGCCGCCAACGCCTCGCCCACACCCTTGCAGTTCATCTCCGGCTGCAAGTCATATGTGGCCACTTTGGGCGACGACACCATTTGGCGCACCTCTCCCGGGAACTCCTTCTCCTGGCCGCCATTGAAGAAGAAGGTCACGTGAGCGTACTTCTCGGTCTCCGCGCAGTGGTATTGCGGCCAACCCTTCGCGCCGATCACCTCCGCCAACACGTTCTTCGGCACCACCGGCGGGTACAGAGACTTGAAGGGGAACTCCTTCTTGTACTGAGTCATCGAATAGAGCGCCAGATTGGCCGGGATCTGCTTCTTGGGCTCGAAGTGCTGTTCGACGCCAAAGGTTTCCGTGATTTGTCGCATGCGGTCCGCCCTGTAGTCGATGAACACCAGCGTATCGTTGGCGCCGATCAGACCTTCTTTGTTGACGATTATAGGCTTCAGGAACTCGTCGGTCACCTGCGGGTCGGACGCGTAGTTCTTCTTCACCTCATCGACCGCTTTATCGACAGTTGTCTCCACGCCTTTGCCCTCCACGAGGCCCTCGAAGGCTATCTGTAAGCGTTCCCATCGCTTATCCCTATCCATGGCGTAATACCGGCCCATAATCGTACTCAAGAGGCCGTACTCCAGTTCCCGGGTCTTGTCGATCACCTGCTGCACGAAACCGGCGCCAGAGGTTGGGCTCGTGTCGCGTCCGTCCGAGAAGAAGTGGATGAACGTCTTGGGGACGCCGTTCGCTTTGGCGCCCTCCAGGAGGGCGAAGAGGTGGTCGATGTGGGCGTGAACTCCGCCGTCGCTCACCAGACCTAACAGATGGAGGCGTCCGGCGGACGTAGTCTTCGCGCGACTGCAGGCGTCCACGAAATTCGCGTTCTTATGGATGTCCTGCGAGACGGAGATCACAAAATCAATACACTTGGGATCAGTTGGCGATCAAATGGCCGAACCTTTGACTTGACGTCCAGATTGATGCGAACGATGTCCTGATAGATGACACGTCCGGCGCCTATATTCAGGTGTCCGACCTCCGAGTTGCCCATCAGTCCATCGGGCAGTCCCACCGCCAGTCCCGACGCATCCAAAGTGATGTAATGGCCTTCAGATCGGGCCATCGCGTCCATCACAGGGGTGTCGGCGGCGGCGATGGCGTTGCCGTCCAACTCGTTGGTCACTCCCCAGCCGTCGATCACAATAAGACACACTTTCGATGCCATCGTCCGATTGGTTGGTCGCGAGGTTGAGGTGCGAGTGATACGGATCTAAACCACGAGATGTGTTGATGTATTGGATGAGGAAATGCTGTCTTTTAATGAATGGTTTGATTGAAAGTCACATTCAATTCACAATTCAATGCCAAGACTTGGATGTAGAGGTTGTGGTGAGGGTGTGTCCATTAGTACGTCACAAATTACGTGATCATGTCTTGTGGACCCCTTTCACGCACTACACGTAATGCAGTACTTCCGCAGTAATACTGTACTGATTGCCTTTGGACTTCTATGGGAACGCGTACAGTGTGTCCAACAGTTTGACTCTCGCTATACAGCGCCACACAATGACTGTGTGTTTAGTTACCAAAACATGTGATTTCAGTGTTGTTTACAAATGAAGACAATGTTATTGAGTGACAATTAAAAGGCTAATAAAATGCTCAAAAGTCTTGTAACTAATCTGCGGACCAAACGTAAGTCTTCATCGCACGCCTTACCACTCGTACGACTGTAACCAACCATTACTTCCGCAGCTGTCTGTCCACTGATGTGCCAATCGGTGAGGGGTCGCAAGTTTTGGCCCATTCCTCCAAATCTCAATCGTAATACCGTTACCACTCTCTCGCGGATCTCATACCAGACATTAACCATTTCGATGATCTTTTTCATGTGCGTCTCCGCCGCAGACATCGAGTTGCCTCCGGAGGCGGAGCGGCCGTTGGTGGCGATGGAGCCGATGCCGACCTGGCATGGGGTGAGGCCTCGCAAGTATCCGCGACAGATGCACGACATCCGCGGCCCAGAACTCGTCAACAATCAGTTGCTTCACAAACAGTACGGCATTATTGTATGTATCGCACGCCCGAAGACATGTCCAGTGGATCCCGTATGCAGTCACTCATTGTATTTGTCTCTCAAACGCCAGGCGCTGACCGGCATTCAGTTGACCATCAATCACATCAATCTGATCCGGACGTCCATTAATCATCACCTGAATGTCGCCAAAATGTTTGCCGTCTGGCGGATAGAGCCGCCGTGGAAGCCGGTCACCAAAAAGGTGTATTTCCCCATCGAGTGGCACACTTTACATACAATATACCGGTGCTAACCCTCCCTCCCCCACAGAGTCAGGGCAAACGGCACGGCGGCGGTAAGGCCTCCATTCACCACTACGTGACGCCCATACGCGCGGGTCAAGTGATTGTGGAGATCGGCGGTCGCGTGGAGTTCGACGACTGCTACTACTTCTTGGAGTCCATCTCCAAACGGCTTCCCTGCGACGCCTTTCCCATCAGCCAAGAGATCCTCAACCACTGGGAGCGCGAGGATCGGGAGCTCAAGGAGAAGAACATCAACCCATTCACGTTCGAGCGGGTCATCCAACATAATATGCAGGGCTGTCACCACTGGATCAGTCCGTACGACAAGATATGGTACGCAAAGTATTAGCCGTTTGTTTAGTCAATACAGTTGTTAATGAAAATTAAATGTCTTTTTAATTGAATAGTAAATGTAATACAAATGATAATCAAATAATACAAACACACAAATATAAGACAAATGTTTTTTTCTACAAAAATAACTTTCCTTTCGTACGAAACGATGCAAACATTCAGTTGTTGTAGTGATAACCGCCTCGCCCTCCGCGACCTCCCGGCCCTCCACGGGTGGGCCGACCCCTGAAGTTGCCGCGCGTCGAGAACTTACTGGTGCCCAGCCTTATGGTGCGTCCCGGCTGTTGCTGCTGTGGTGGAGGCGGTTGTTGTGGGGGTAGTGATGATTGGGGTTGCGATGGCGTAGGCGCCACCGACTGCAAGATATCAGTGGGCGGTGTCTGAGTGGTGGGTGAGGGCGTGGGCGGCAAAATGGGTCGCCTCTGGAGGCCAGCCCTTAAGGGACCGCCAAAGCCTCGACCCCTGCGTGCTGTGGGGACTCCTCTCTGAGCGGTCGCAGTGGTGGCCGTTGTTGTGGACGACGTGGGCGTCGACTCGCTTTCAATCGTTTCCGACGTCTCCGTCTCTCTCTTCAAGGACTCGTCGCTTTGGGACGACTCTTGAGTCGATTCTACGCCTTGTCTCACATCGGACTCGATTATGACGTCAATGTCTTCGGCATTAGTGGCACTCCTATTGCTATCATCAACGCTGGACTCGTTCTCCAGTTCTGTGGGTAGTATTGTTTCGGTGACCGTCGGGTCCATCTCGAAGGCAGGCTCTTCCGCATCGATATCTATAGTCTGACTGTTATTGTCGGGAACGGCCGGCGAGTTGGCTAACGGCGTGTTGGGGACACTGCGGCCGCTGTTATCGTCAAACTGAGACAAATCCATCCGCGTGTCGTCCACACCAAGAGTGGTCTCATTGGCCAACGCGGACAGCGTTTGCGCCTCAGGAATGCTGGAACTGAAGACAAACCTTCCCTGTGGTACGCGCGGAGAGTTGAGCGGATCCGCGAAGCCGTCGCCTCTTCGCGGAACAAATAGGGTCGGAGTGGACGGCACTATACCGTCGCCCTCGTCGTAGGCCGAGCTCTGCTGCTGTTGCTGTGCGTGACTTAAATAGAAAGACTGTCGGCCGGGCTGTTGCTGTTGTTGGCCGCCAAACGGCCTCTGGATAGGCGTCGGCACCTGAATGAATGGATTCGGTTCCGTACTCGACGTCACCACAGATGGCACAGACATCGGTGGCATCGATGCCGAGACGGTTGGCTCTGAATAACAACAAAACAGTTATTAAAACAAAAAAAACTAATTAATAAATTGATTTCAATACCAATCGCTTCGCTAGTCATCGACGACTGCGGCTCTTCGATGGGTTCGCTCTGTTCGCGAGGCTCTGGCATATCGTCCGACTCGGACACACCCACCACTTCAATGTCGGCGCCTTCGCTGCCGGCGTCCGAGCGCTCATCGTTGGCCTCTTCTTCATAAGCAGATCCCTCTTCTTCCTCCTCTTCATTATAGTCCTCCTCTTCGGGATACACTTCCCTCTCTCCGACGTTCTCTTCGTACTCTTCTTCTTCCTCATCATATTCTTCGTCTTCTTCGTCCTCCTCCTCGTCATCCTCTTCCTCGTCGTCGGCATTCTCTTCGTATTCATTCGTATCTTCTCTCTGTTGTTGTTCCTCTTCTTCATCGGATTCGTCGCTCTCGAGAATAATCACTTCGTCGTCGCTTTCGGGCGGCGGCTCTACAACCCTCTGAGGGACAAAAATCGGCTCTTCTTTCGGAGTATCTTCCGGTCCATCGCTCGACACAGTCATCACAACGGCTTCTGGTCTCATAACATCTTCTTCTGGTTCTGCTCTCAACCTCTTGGGACTCACGGAACCGCTGGTCATCTCTTCGCACGCATTCCTATTCCTCTTCAGCAAAATCTTTTCACGCAATACTCGCGCGACCGTCGACTCCGAAGACTCAGCTATTGGTTGACTAAACGGAGCGCTCGATTGAGACGACGGCTGCAGTTCCTCTTGTGAAGCAAACGGCACGACAGACGCGTTGTCTTCAACTGTGGCCGTCATCTGTTCGGGAATCGCCTGCTCTTCCATTTGTTGCACTTCTGCTGCACTCGAGTCGTCCACCTGTGGCTCTATTTGCTCTTCAATCGGGTCTTCCGTATGAGTTGTAATCACATCCGACTCGACGGCACTGGACGTCACAAAAGGTATCGATTGAGAGCTCACTGATTGACTCGCGGCCTGAGAGGGCACGGCTTGAGTGGTGGGCTGTACCGTCGCCTGCGGAACAGACACGTGTTGACTCTGATCTTCGGTGGTTGGCTGGACAGTAGCCACAGCTGTCGCGCGCGCCGTCACATTACGCCCTGTCCTAAGAGTCGGCGTCACAGCCAACGGCCGTATACTCGCAGTTGGCGTCGATTTGGCCGACAGGGGCTGAACGGTCGCCGATTGCGGATGAACTGGATGTCTGACTGGATTGGCGGTGGCCTGGGATGACGTGGTCTGTACTCTTCGCGACCAGTGACGCTATCGCCGCCTGCCCCCGACATCAACGACAACCGAGACCACAACTGAGCGGAAGTTCAGGAGGTAGACAGCGTCGCAAAGGCAGTCGAGAGCAAGCACAGCAAACTGAATAGCGTCGAATTGGCTCTTAATGGACGCCAACCGCAGATTGTTTTCCTCGACGCTCTGCTCTAATTGTTTGATCCTTTCCTTCAACTCTTCGGTGTTCTTCAAGAGCCCGTCCCTCTCGCGAACGATACCACTCTTCTCGTTGGAAATGGCGGCCAATCGCTGTTTGGCTTGAAGGGCGATCTTCTTGGCCTTGTCCTCCCTGTCCAGCGCCTGACTCTTAGCCGCATCCCTCTCTTCGGTCACTTGTTTCAAATCAGTTGTCAATTTGGCGTTCGTTTGCTCCAAATCCCTAACTCTTGTCGTCAACTCCTCGCACCGCGCCGTCAGCTCATTGGTCTGCGCCTCAGTGGCTGCGGCCGTATTGCGCGCCAACTGCTGGTCGGCCGCCAACTTCACGGCGCTGTCGTATTGGCTCTTCAGCTGATCAAAGGCCGCCTTTTGTTCGCCGAACTGTTGTTTGTATTTTCGCGCGACGTTTCGCAACTGAATTATCGTGTTCTGCGCGCCCGAGCTCTCGGCCCGCAAGCGATTCAACTCTTCGGTCCCTTTCTTCGTGCCCTCCGCCACCTTCGC